AAAAGTTGTTAAGTTAGAGTGACGAGGTACATACTCACTGTGAAATTACTGTGTATTAAAAGTTTGTATCGAGGAAGATTGTTTGTTTGTTTTGGAATTTCGCGCAAAGCTACACGAAGGCTATCTGCGCTAGCCGTCCCTAATTTAGCAGTCACACCAAACATGCTCGCCCTTTCTTCCGTGGGGGCATTATAATGTGACGGTCAATCCCACTATTCGTTGGTAAAAGAGTAGCCGAAGAGTTGGCGGTGGATGGTGATGACTAACTGCCTTTCATCTAGTCTTTCACTGCTGAATTAGGGACGGCAAGCCCAGATAGCACTCGTGTAGCTTTGCGCGAAATTCAAACCAAACCAATAAACATTTTAATCAGTTGTAAAACGGCCAAAGCCATACTTCTGTTGGGAACCTCATCTATTTTCAGTGGTGTAACGAGCTAATGGAATAACACATTGTATGTATTAAGGTGATTTCGATACGTTATGCATTTGTTACTGTGTTAAAATAATAATAGTTTTCTTTGTTACCCATGCAGCTCGTCTCTAAACTTACCTTATCAAGTTATATTTGAAGAAAGTTTTGGTCACTTTCAAACGGATATAAGTTAACACACAAACACTGTCAGAGAAAAATAAATTACCTAAACTATAAACAAATGTCCAGCTCTGTCATTTGTTACTAAGTCTTCATAAAGTACCAGAAAGTGCCTTTCGTCAATGCTATAGGAATTCCATATAAGAACTTTCGCACGGAACCATAAACTAATGCTCAAGCCATTACATTTACTTCAATAAGTTGGGATAGTATAATTCTTGCTCTATCCAATCACATTTAACCTTTTTTTATGTGTTTCATTAGTAAATGAATGATCAAACCACTTGACGTGACGTCATAATAATGTTATAAAAACTCAGCAGAAAAATACAAAGGAAACACTTTAATTTCAAGAAATGGCCAATATACTCTCGAGAGGTGACGGGGTCTTTGCAAAAATATTTATTATTTAGGGGATGTCCAGAAAATTCATTAAAAATTGACAATTAGGTGCAGAAATGAAAATTTGATTTAAATGTTTTCTCTATATGAATTATACTAATAAGTGCTAGAAAGTAACTAAACATCAAATTTAAAATATCTTAATAGTTAAAATTTGAAAAGGTTTTTCGTTGTACAAAACTTGTCTGTGACATTTCCTGATTGGCTAAAGGACATACCAATCAGTGATTGCCTTAGCGGCCTACGTTGATCTGACTCATTTTATAAGCTGTACTATTTCCTATAGATCATTTACCAGACGATTCTGCTATGATTAGTGTCTGGTGAAAAGCTTCATCAGATATTTCTTTTGCAACATCTCAACCAACAATTGGTTCAGTTATCAACGTTGGTAATATACTAGCCGTCCCTAATTTAGCAGTGTAAGAGTAGAGGGAAGGCAGCTAGTCATCACCGCCAACTCTTGGGCTACTCTTTTACCAACGAATAGTTGTCTTGACTGTCACATTATAAAGCCCCCACGGCTGAAAGGGCAAGCATGTTTGGTGTAGTTAGATGATTTAGTATTATATCTATTTTTGAAATAAGATCATGAAAAAAATACCTGCAACTTCATCTTTGTGGAGTTGGTTGACACACTTGTCAGTCCACCCCAAGTGAAATGTGTCAACATGCTCCAAACTGCCATTTTGCTAAAAATGACTTGCGTGTGTCGTCTCTCCCAGGCATAGTTATCAAACAAAATTGTCCCCCGGCAGGACAGCGGTAAGTTTTCGTATTTACAATGCTAAAATCAGGGTTTAGATTTCCCTCGGTGAACACAGCAGATAGCCCGATGTGGCTTTGCTCTAAGAAAACACACAGACACACAAACAAAATTATGTACAGCCGAAGGAATTCACCTTTAAATACTTGGTAACTTAAATTCCCTGAGCACGGTACTTAGTATCATAAAATCTTTGCAGAAGAAAACAGTTTCTTAAGTACATAAAAATATCAATTTACCCCTGCACACGACAGGGTATTCTGATCACGATAGACTTGAAACAGTATGTGACGCGTGTTTGGATATGTTAGTAGTCATTATATCAAGGCTACCAACTTTAGCGTGTGAAATTTGTCAGCATTGTGTCTTATGACTTAAATAAAATGTGTTATTAATTCTTTCCTAAATTCAGATTTGTAAAATAAATTAAATAAAATGTGTTATTAATTTCATTTTACAAATCTGAATTTAAGTAAGAATTAATAACACATTCTATCTAAGTCATTTACAAATCTGAATTTAGGTAAGAATTAGTAACACATTCTATTTAAGTCATTTTACAAATCTGAATATAGGTAAGAATTAATAACACATTCTATCCAAGTCATTTTACAAATTTGAATTTAGGTAAGCTTAAATAAAATGTGTTATTAATTATTACCTAAATTCAGATTTGTAAAATGACTTAAATAAAAATGATGGTAATTACACCTTACTTATTTAATGTAGTTTACACCATAACAGTTCTTGGTAAAGTTATTAAACATATTACATGGACTAATACTATGCCTATTGTATCCCATCCGGCCTGGGAGCCCTGGTATTGGACAAAAGGCCTCGTTGGCACTGGATATGACAGATATAGTGTTTGATATATTGCATATTCTCCTTTGCTTTCACTCACAAGTTTTATCAATATTTACACGTAATATTGGTTTGGTTTGTTTGGAATTAAGCACAAAGCTACACAATGGGCTATCTGTGCTCTGCCCACCACGGGTATCGAAACCCGGTTTCTAGCGTTGTAAGTCCGCCGACATACCGCTGTTCCACTGGGGGACTACAGTAATAAGAATCATATATACAAATAAATTATATACAAACACACACATATATATATATATATGTGTGTGTGTGTGTGTCTATTGTAACTAGTATTGTCATGTCATTACTTACACAGGTTTATTTGATGTCTTAAAACAATGAGCAGCACTGATGACGTATGTGGATGAGATAAGAGCACCACCACATAGAAATCTTTCAGAAAGCCCAAACTTTTGCGAGATTCCAACCTATAATGAGGTACATATAAAAACAAAATTGTAATTTTCAAGAAAATTAAACTTTGCAGTAGCTATTAGATCCCTTGAAAACGACATCTACAATTTTAAAACGGATAAAATTAAAAGTACTGCAAATTATCAAAACATTTGCTACCCATAGATAACGTCGTAATTATATACAAAACAATAGTATGATCAAGCAAGAAAGAAAAGCGAAATATATATATTGTATGTATTAAAACGTACGTGTACCACAAAAACACTCTTTGTTGTTAGCACGAATTTACACAATAGGTTATCTGTGCTGTGGCACTTGGGGATCGAACCCCCAATTGTAGGGCTACAGACACGTGCGAAAGAACATGCAAATTTAAGGGGACCGTAGAGATTAAGGGTGTTTAAACACACCTTATGTAAGTGGACCTAGTTTTTCATTTAAATTATTTAAAGATCCTACCTAACAATAGTGACAAGCAGAACCTCCAAGTAAAAAAATTTACTTACTTATAGGTAGGGGGCGCAGTTTAACAAATTCGGTTCATGATATACTTTGATGCTTAAAGTATTTATTAAGCATATTCAGAACACAACAATAGTTTATACTGTAAATGAAAATTACATTCATGTATTTATTATATATTAAATTAACAAAAAAATATAATCATCACACATAATTATGATGCATTAACAAATGACAGTGACAAATAAAACTCAAAGAATCACTTTTCTAAACCTGTAAGATTGTGGAATAGCACATCAGGTCACGATAGTATTTAGTGGTCCTCCACAGTCGTTTTTTCTTTTTGTTTTATAAAAATTTACTGGCAATAAAATGCAATGGTTTTTGTAGTTTTTCTTGCACATGTACTATTTCATTCAACCCATAACAATGTTGAACAATAGTAATGATCTGTCATATTGTTGAAACAGCTGTGTTATTCCCTGGTCATATAGCAGTAAACGTAAGGATTAATAACGGCTATATAGTAGATCTAGACATGGTTACTATATAAATAACAAAACTTCATAAAACCACCAATGGATTTGCCTTGAAGTGGTAAGCCTGTCTTACGTTAGCTCTGCGATAAGTCTCACAGCTTACAACGCTAAAACGTGCGAATTCTTCTTCATAGAGCTTATTTTTACATACAGTTAAAATACATTTTACACCCAGGATGTCGTGTCAAAATTATCTTAATGCTAGAATATCACCACAGATTTCGTGAAATGTAGTTTATCAGTTTAAGTGCCCTTTTTGCGAACAGGACTGTATGGGATCTACGATGATCTAGAAGCATATTTGGAAAACATAGCACCTCAAAATATAATTATTTTATGAGAAGTTGACTAAAAATATAAACTATTATACTTAACAGTAGTGTAAGTCATTATGGCCATTGGTAAATACAAAATTTTGCATAAAGTTTAAGTAACAGAACAGTTACAATTTTATAAACTCATAAAAACTGTATGCGAAATTATATTTCTAATAATATTACCATCCATGGCCAAGAATAAGGAAGTACATCAACTCCGCCAGCCACTTCCTCGTCACTCAGAACAGCTCGCTTTTCCCTTGATGGCTGAAGTTGGGTCAATAACATAGACCCTCCACTTTGAATTTTTGTACGAATGCCACAACCTGAAACGATGATTGAAATAAAAAGTTCCTTATTATTATCTGGAGAGTAAAAGTTTTCTTCTAAGTTTATTACGAAGTACGGTGATTAAAATAATTTAATCCACGTGTTAATAGAAGGCATGTTCATGACACATCTACTGTTTTACGATTACAGGGTCATGTTGACTTTTCTTTACAATATTTAAATAGTAAACATCCACACAAAGTTCACTTAATTTCAGCAAGTACTCTAGATAACAATTTGTTGAATACTTTTGTGCATAATCAATAAGCTAATTTCGAAATTTGGTTTGTGGTACACGAACTTTGTGCACATTTTTGTAATTTTGTTCCTGAGACCTTCAATGTAAATTTAAATAAAATACTTATTGACCATGTTTACAAACTGTTAGTACACAGTAAAAGGAACAAACTGTCAGAAGTCTTGATATTGGAGAATCTAGGTTTGATACATTCATGTGTCCTATTCAGTCTCACGTTGTGGACACGCGAATATGTCAAAATTAGTTTCTCCAATATCAAAACTTCTGACAGTTTGTTCCATTTACTCTGTTTTTGTTCACTAATTGCTGCACAAAATATTGTGTTATATTATGATTACAAGACTGTAATCAATTATTCTAATATTCATTATGAAATTATCTTTATATATATATTTTAAACGTGATGATTTTATAGTACTTTGATAGCAATATCAATGAGATTATAAATATATTAACAACCCCTAAAATCTTGAAGTTCATGTACCAAGAAAAGCAAGTTGTAATAACGTTATAATACTTAGAACAATAATCGCAATATATAAAACACAAGTTAGCTTTAATATCACACACAGTTCATGTACTTAAAAAACAGTAATAATAACGTTACAATACGTAGAACAACAATCGCAATATGTAAAACACCAGTTAGCTTTAATATCACACACAGTTCATGTATCTTTAAGTAAGTTGCTCGATTTTTCATTTCAAAGTTGTAATACAAATGTAATGAATCATTTGTTACTTACAAATTTGTATGGCGAAAATGTGCGGAGCAATATGTAAGCTTTAATACTAGGTGGTTCTAAATCCGTATACAAAATAAACTAATCCTGGAAAAGTTCAGAATTATTCAAATATCCCATGTGATATACTTATTACCAATGATTGTTTTACTGTTGTGGATCAAGCTGATGATGAGAAACAATCACGAGTTCAATAGAGTTTGATCATTGTTAATATGAAGCCTAAAATAAATCAACAGTACTTCCACTCCTCTTGAAATGTAAGTGGTCAAGATAATAAAACAAGATATTTTGGCTATTTTATTTCATTAATCAGACACGTTTTATTAAAATTGAGGACAAATTACATTACTATCATAGTAATAATCTCATTTCACGATGTTACCAAATATAAGTGGAAGAAATTTCTATTATAGTTCAACCCGGTGCATGAAACAGAAAAGATCCACGAACTGTAAGTATAAAAACTGATTATGTAATTGTGTATATAATGTTACAGTATCAAAGTAGCATTTCTCACGTGATCACCTCCAATGTCGGTTTGTCAACTCCTAAGCAAGAATTTGGTAAAATCACAAGATTCGTTATACGTTGGACTATAACAGTCAATTACAAAAGTTTTACTTCAAAAATCATTGACAAAAATAAATACATGGTGGGTATTAATGAAAAAGAACCAGATGTAAACTAGCATTTGCTTTCAATTACACTCCGGTTGCTTTAACTACACAGCTATACTTATATCTGATTTCTAAAACTATTCTGTAAAGAAAATGTTTTTTGACTGATTATAATTCTATACATCTTTTGCATATATTTGTTTTTAGAATAATAATGTTTTTACTTGAATAAGTACTTAGAGTTGCATCTAAAATAATCATCATTGAATTGAATATTCTCTGCTTTTAGTTCATAGAAAACATGTTTCATATTTTTATGTGCGCACGTAATATTTAGAATAGATATGCAGATTATAAGATTTGTTTCCGGTTTACATAATAAAGTGTTATCCTTTTTTGATACAATATTCACCTCATGTCAACAAGTCACCAACTGAAATTAATACATTTGTAAATTAGATATTTTTGAGAAACTTCTATGTTTTAATGAAAGTAAAATATAAAGGAGAATCAAGAATTTTAGCAATATCAAGCCTAAAGTAAACATATCTTAAAAACTTCTAACAAAATAGACATACATATTTTTTCCTATAAGAGTTAATCGGATAAATATTACGTTATTGTTTTAAAAAATGGGTATTTTTTTTCTGAATCTTAGAAAAGCACGCCTTGGATAGATCTGTTTTGACCTACCTTAGAAGTGGTATCTTCTTCCCAGGAAATGATGGTAACCCTACTGATGATTTGTGTAAAACACCCAAGAATGAGAGAGGACACTGTAAAACCCTCTATGACTGCCCTATAGTACTATCCAACACATATCAAGAATACCCTACAATTTGTGAATGGAATGGTTTGAATCCAGTTGTTTGCTGCCCTGATGTTGTACCGCCTGAAAGTACTACTAAACCTTTTATGTCAAATATAGTTCCAGACCTTACTCTTCCAGGTGAGGGAATTTATCAGGAACACTCCAACTGTTAAAGTGGTTTATTTTATGAGATGATGAAACTGTGGATTAATATTTTGATCAAGAAGTGCATTACATAACAATTTGTGAGGTTGAAAAATTTGTTTGCTTGTTTATAACAGAAACATAAAATTAATTACTTCGGTTTATATCAATGTACTTCCAAATTATTCTAATATATTATCTCACCAAACAACCATTTGGTTAGTAAAGAAATATTTAACTGAAGATTTACTCTAACACTAATTTGTAAAATATTTTTCTTTTAAATGAATTTCTGCATTGGTTTGAATTCCCATTTTCACAGTTAAGTATTTTATATTCCCTGTGCAAGTTATTTCATACAAATTATAGCCTGGAATCTTAAATGAACTGACAAAAACTGATACTTAAAACGTTATATGCTTAGGGAAAGTTGTTCGTAATGTGCGATTTTTTGTTTTTAAAACATTTACACATGAATTATATATTTTGAATGTAGTTTTTAATGCTGATTTCAGAAATATAAATTAGAGTTTTGACAAATAAAAATATTTTTTTTTGCTAGGTTAGGTCAGTTTATGTGAGGTTAGATCAAGTTCGACTAATTAGTAAATAATTACATGTCTATTTAAGTATAGAATAAATTTCATTAACAAAATTCTTAAGATAATGAAAATATTTTCCCATTTCTTACGCTTTAAAAATCAATTCTCCAAATTTTAATTTATATTTCTGATATCTGCAGAAAATTGAATATACTTGGAATGTTTTTAACAGATGTTATAAGCGACGTAACAAGTTTGTTTGGCGTCGTAAGCATGAAAATGATGATCTCTTCAAGCAAATATTCAAGAATATTTCTGAATTTTCACATTGAATGTGTTACTTCGTCACTAGATACTTGATGTATTGTCTTGATGTTTGCAATTATTTTAAATGCTAAGATATATATGTAATACTAAAAGTACTTCATTTGTTTTGTAAGCAAATATATATATATAATATTTATTTTCATTTCTCCAAATTTCAATTTATATTTCTGAAATCAGCATTAACAACTGCGTTCAAAAATATATATTCTTTTCAATTTGAACACGGTGCATGAAACAGAAAAGATCCCAGATCGTTGTTATTTAAGATTTTTATAATGGTCGTCAATATTTGTTGCCCCCTCCCGTGGCACAGCGGTACGTCTGCGGACTTATACCGTTTAAAACCGGGTTTCGATACCCGTGATGGGCAGAGCACAGATAGCCAATTTTGTAGCTTTGTGTTTACTATAAACAAACGGTATTTGTTAATTTTTGTTTGATTTTCTTTGAAGTTTTGACATAAACATAGAATAGTCCAACTATCAACAATTAGATTGATTGTTGTCGTATGGTTTAGTCTCACTAGTTCATACTTTCACTATACCAGCTTTATAACTATGTTTTAAGAGAGATTTTGTTCATATTTTAATTCATAGCTCCTACAAAAATTACAGTTTGTTTATTTGTTTCCATGCTGTGTTACAATACGTCCAGAAGAATGTATCAATATTGTGATGAACAACACTGCAAGTTATCGGTACCTCCTCGAAGTTTACCCCGCTTTAACGAACACGTTAGTGTATCAAGATATCATTGTTGTTCCCTATTATTTTGGTGCTTTAACATCGATAAGAAACGGACATACTTTTCAAACAGATTATTCACAAATTGAACTAAGACTTAATTTTCAACTTTCGTTACTACCGATGTGCATAAGGCTACACTGGATCGGCTATACTATAGTTCTCCTCTCATCTTGGAACTCATGAAAACATACCAAGATCGTGAAGAATGAGAGATTCAATCTTCTCCTCAATGGATTGGGATGTGACACGTCAGCATAAGAGTTTTAATTTAATATCATCAATAGTGCTAAATAAATGCGCATTTTAAAATACAAGTACTTTCACCTTTGCCCCCACTACGAGTGTAAGTCGAAGATGCTTGAACTAGTAAGGACAAGTTTGTAATAATAAATAAATATTATACTTTACCTATATTACTTTCTCCTGGACTTAATCTCACGGGTCTGTTTGGATTATCTAAACTTAATACTGCCCATATTAATGGTGTAAATAAACACAGATAGAAATGGCTCTTCATAGTTTCCTTTAATTAATGGTATTCTGAAACACATACACACACAAAAAACGTTTTAAACGTTGTTAATAAGAACATATCTATATTTTGAGTAAGTAAGAAGTGACCTTAAAAGGAAAACAAATTATATAACTATTTGTTTGTAATTCGCTATTCATCTTTACATCCAACTGTGCTGTTAAAATTCAAACATATAACTTTTTACTGGACACCCACATAGTGCCAGTAAAGAAAGGTGTGAGTAGTGTTACCAGCCTTATTAAGTTGCGTTACGTATTAGAATTTCAAAT